CAGAAAAAAAAAAAAAAAAAAGAGAGAGAAGAAGAAATGTCTCTTTTTCTTGAGACAAGGTCTCACCATGTAGTTCAGGCTGGCCTTGAACTCTCTATGTAGCCCAGGCTGGCCTCAAACTTATGGCAATCCTCCTGCCTCTCAGGTGCCGGGATCACAGGTGTGTGCCACCATGCCCAGCTTGGTGTATTTTTTGCTCCTGTCCTTCTGGGCATTGCCACTGTTCCTGTGGGCTATGCCCTCCTTCTTCATTCCTGCTGGGGCTCTGGGATGAGAGCCCAACTCTCCCTGAGGCTGAGGCTCACTATCTCTGGCAGGATCAGGCCAGGCCAAGAGGCTGTGGAAGGGGCAGGAGGGGCAAGAAGAGGGCAGGAGGTTGGATTCTTCCTTCTCCCCTGCATTCCTGCCCAACCCTTTCCAGAGTGAGTCTCCTGATGGCCCTCTTGGCTCAGGACTGGAATTCTAAGAGGCTGGGTGTGTAGCATGAAGGTTGGTTGGGTCTGTTTGTGAATAAGATGTTGCTGGGAGCCTCTGAGTTACCATGGCCGCAGCCTGGCAGTTGCGGTGACAGAGTGACATGTCTGGGTTTCGTGGCCCACTATGGCCCTGTGCTATTCAGGAAGCCCCATCAATCCCAACCTTGTGGCATCCACGGCCTGTTCTCTGGGAGAGGTTGGAAAGCAGGGAATTATTCCATGACCTGGCGTCTTTGTTCAGAGAATCAGCTTTATGAGGATGTAGAGTGAGTAAGATCAAGGATTCTGGAGCCTCAGGCTCTGGATTCAAATCCAGCTCCGCCACTTAACTATCTATGTGATTTCAGGGATGAAATCACATTTACATGAGGATCTGACCTTCACTTAACTCAGCCTGTGTTTCCCTAATGTAGGGAATGTGTCAGCCACATTTAGGCAACATAGCTTGTGATAAAAATAACCTCTTATGATAAGAAGGGGTGGAGACCATTCTCTGTGCTTCTCTGCTTAAAATGACTCTTTACTACCCGTCCCTTGCAGGGAAATGGGAGCCGACGCCTGTGAGATTGTTGTGAGCAGCAGTGGTACTTTTCTTCAAACCTCAGCCAAGACCTTGGGGACCCAAGAGAATAGTTCCTGGGTGCCCATATTGCCTGGGGTTCTGCGGGCTGGTTCTACCCAAGAGGCCCTTGTGGGGCTGCCCTGCCGGCAGCTGTTCCTGTTTTATTCCCTTCTATGTCAATCAAATGTCCAGTGTAAATGTCAGCTTCCTATGGTAATTCTGTGACCATCAATGTTTAGTTAAAGCTGAGAAGAAGTTGTGAGTTCGAGGCCAGCTTGAACTGCACAGTGAGACCGTGTCTCAAAAAAAAAAAAAAAAGCTGAAAAGATCCTTGACAGGCATTATGGAGTGACTGGGTTTATTTTTTAAATTCTGTGTGCATTTTTCTCATCTAAAGAGTAGAGATGCTAATACTACCAAATTTTCAGGGTGATTATAAAGAATGTCATGTGCTTAGTGCAGTGTCTGCTACGAAAGACAAAAGCATGTGCTGCTACCCTTGTCCCTGCCATCACCGTTACCAGAAGAAGGTGGTGTAAGACTTAAGTCTCACTTTTACTCCTGGAGCGTGAACAGCCAAGAGGCTTCCACGATGCTGGGCTCAGAAGCTCAGCGAGGCTCCAGGAGCTAGTCACACAGCGAGAGTCACCCAGGAAGGAACACACCAGGCAAGTTGGCAAATAGACCTTTATTAGTCTGGCCAGACGGCACTCCCCAAGCCAAGTAGCTCAGAGAGGTGGCCAGCTCAGAAACAGAGGCTATTTTATATTGGGCTGAAGGGGGTTTATACTTAAAACTTACAGGAAGAGGACAAAAGGCAAAGAGTCAGTTGATCTGAGCTAGTGGTCGTCACGTACTAATGATCAGCAGAGTGATTATCCATTGTTCCATTTACAACCTAGATCATCATAAAGTTCAGAACATTCAGACTACAGGCATGCAAGCAGTGGCGTGACCTGCGTTGGGTCTCTGTGTTCACTACAATTTCCACCTAGTTTCCTAGCTACTTCAAAACAGCCACCTAACAATTCACAATTAATCACTAGTTATCCTATAAGGGATGGGGGGAGCGACAGTCTCTAGGTCATTCGCTGGTCAAGATGGAGTCGCTCTGGTTCAGCCAGGCTCCCACAGTGGCTGACTCTCTCTCCTTTGGGTTAGTTCTAGTCCCATCCCAGCGGCCAGCTCACTGTGCGGCTTTGTACAGACGACCTCGTTCTCTAAGGGTACAGGTCTTACCGTATGTTCTCGGTGCTCCATTTGTTTGTTGAATGAATCAGTGAGGTAGGACACCAACTAAGCACTCTCTAAGGGGTCTTATAGTTTCCCATGGCAGATCTTGGAAAATCCTGAATCAGAGAAGGAATTGGAGGAGGAGTGTAGAAAGGGAGGAAATGGCCTGCAGGAGGAGTGGATGGGGTCTCAGGTCTGGAGCGGTGTAGAGAGGGAACGGGATCGTCGTGGGAGGTGGAAGGTGTCTCCCGGTCCCACTGACTCCACAGGTCTGGCCCAAGCTTAAGAGAGGATGTGGGTGATTCCAACTCCAGAGCTGTACCACACAGAGCCTGAGCCTCCAGGGTGGGCGGCAGGGATCGGAGGCAACGGTATGTGGCTCTGGAAAAGTGCCGTGGCCACTTTGGTTGTATCCCTTTGAGAAGGACTGCAGCAAGGCCTCTTAGCTCCCTGAGTTTTCCTTCTCTGAAGACCACTCGGAGGGCAGTGGGGATGACGGTCGGAGGGGAGGTGGCGATGGCCCCAGAAGACTGCCCCTAATGCTGTGTTTCTCCCTCCCTCATTCAGGTCTGAATGCCGGAGCTTTCTACGCCCTGTCCACTCTACTGAATCGCATGGTGATCTTGCATTACCCGGTAAGGGAGTCCCCTAAGCAGGCCGGGTCCGGAGACAGGGTTTCCAAGTCTGTCTCTGCCCAGGGGGGCCCGTGCTCACGTGTGGTGCCCTGGTGTGGGCTGATGGGATTCGGTTCTCCCACAGGGGTTCTCTGGTTCTCACCCTGGTTTTAGTGGCACCAAACGCGGTAGAGATGTGACTGTGTGACAAGCGACTTAGCATAGCTGGGCTCTCTCTTTTCTGTAGAAGAAGCACGATTACCTCTCATATTACTCTTAGGGTTAGAAAATAAATAATATCATTTGTTGATATGTATATATATTTATATCTTATTTATGATGTATGATATGTTGTATCTGGCAACACAGTTGGTAAAAATACACACACAATATTTAATTTGTAAAATATAAGCAAGGTTTAATTTTGAGCTCTTTTTTGTTCAACTGAAAGCAATTTTTGGTTTGTTTTTTTGAGACAGGATTTCACTCTGTAGTTCAGGCTGGCCTTGAACTCACTGCATAGACCAGGCTGGCCTCAAACTTGCTGTGATCCTCCTGCCTCAGTCTCCTAAAGTGCTGAGATTACAGGTGTGTATCACTGTGCCTGGCTCAACTGCAAGCATTTTAAAAATGCTTGCGTCACCAGTGAGGGCTGGATGTTGGGAAAGGGATACTGAGTGTCCTGGAGTCTACTTTTGAAAGAGCTGGAATCGCACACTTGCAGTGTGGGGAGACCACTGTGGCTAAGGGCTCTGCTTTGGAGTTGTTCTGAGTTCACATACTGGCTCTGTGCTTAATGTGTTGTTTCTGACCTTGGACTATGAGGTAAATCTCACCGTGCCTCAATTGTATCACTGTTAATGGGGCCCACTGACTCTGAACCTTAGATTGGTGGGTAATTATGCTGATCAAATGATGCAAAAAATCTCATGGAAGGTGTTCAGTTCATAGATAGCATTCAAAAATATGCGGCTTTATTTTCCTTCTTCCTTTGGTAGCCATATATATATATTGGGTGAACTATGTGTGGTGACATATTCCTATAATCCTAGCACTCTGGTGACTGAGGAAGGAAGATCACAAGTTTGAATTTTGCCTGAGTAACTTAGCAACTTAGTGAGACCGTCTCAAAAAAGAAAAGAAAGAGAGAGAGAGAGAAAAGAAAAAGACTGAACTCTAGTACTGAAGGAAAATAAAAATCTAAGAATGGAGTGTTTGGATTCTGATTCCCCCGTCTGTGAATGGGAATAATGGTAAATAAGATCAAAGGATTGCTATAAGGATTTAATTATTTATTTTATTTTATTTTTATTTCTCTATTTTTGGTACTGGGAATTAAACTCAGGGCCTCATGCTTGCCATGCAGGCGCTGTGCCACTGAGCTACACCCCCAGCCCAGGATTCAATAATTTTTGAAAATCTGCCTAACATTGGTTTTAAGGACAGAACTTGGTTCATCGTGTCATGCCAGCGCCAAGTGTCGCGTGCACACACGCGTGCACACACACATGCACACGCACACGCCCCAGGGAGGAACAGCTGTCCTGGGATTTCCTCCAGGCCGTCTGCTTGCAGGCGCCTTTCTGAACTGGGTTCCGAGTTGCCTGCCTTGGCTCTGTCATCCCGTGGTTACTTCGTGTTGCCACGTGCCTTGTTGCCTCACTGGCTGCTCTTCGGATTTCCCCAGGGGGAAGAAGTGAATGCTGGACGGATCGGCCTGACCATCGTCATTGCAGGAATGTTTGGGGCTATGATCTCAGGCATTTGGCTGGATAAGTCCAAAACCTACAAGTAAGTCACGGTTCTTCTCCGACAGAATTGGGGAACCATCTTTTGAAAATGATGCATTTATTTTATTTCAGCGCAGCTCAGCTTTGGGTATGACAGCAAGGGGTCTGAGGGGCCAAACAGGTAGTTCAAATTTATCTTCTCTAAACCTCAGTTTCCTCAATTACAAAATGAGACTACACCCAACCTGTGGGGACTTTAAGAAAATTAGAGACGGGGATGCAAAAGTCAGCACAGTGCTTGTCTCCATTCCTGTCCACCGAGTAGCTTTGTGGAAGGAGCCAGTGAGGGAGAAATGGAAATTGTTGGGGGAAAAAAAAAAAGAAAAAAGCCAAAATCCTCAGACTAGGTGTGACAGCACACACCTGTTATCCCAGCGCTTGGGAGGCTGAGGCAGGAGGATCACTGAAAGTTTGCAGCCATCCTGGGGTGCATAGTGAGTTCAAGGCCAGCTTGAACTCCATAAAGAGAACTTGTCTCAAAAAAACAAAGCAAACAAGCTACAATAACAACAAAAAAGCAAAGAACCTCAGCAGTTGGAAAGTTTGTGGAAACCCTGAAGAGCGGCGATGAGGAGAGGATTCCACTAGCCTGCTCCTGTGGCTTCTCTGGACCCTGTGCTCAGTGCTCGGTGCTTATCCAAGTTTGCAGGGCTTATGTGTGTATGTCTCTCTGGAGTTCTTTAGACCTGTGGGTTAGGTATTGTTACATACCTTGGATACAAATGCCTGACTCGTTAAGATCTCAGAGCTGTCTTTCTTGTTTTTGATTTTTTATGATTCCGGGTTTAACCTAGAGCCTCACACATGCTAGGCAATAATCTACCACTGAACTCACCCCAGCCCATCCTGCCCTTCTTGCCCTGACTTTCCAGTGCTCTCCATGCATTGGGCGCTGGGTTAGTGCTGCCTGGTAGAGCAGCTGCCCCAGTTGTCCCGCTTTGGGGTGGGTCAGCATTCCTTGCTGCTTTGTTAAGGCCTCTGCAGTGTCTGGAGGAGACAGTTGCGGACCTGTTTTCTGCCACACAGACGCACTTCTATGAGGCTTTGGTTGGACCAGGTCTCATTCTGCTGCCATAGGCAGAGGCCACTTGAGGCCACCCCAGGAGACGCGGCTGCCTGGTTTGCTGTGGGCTCTTAATTACTGCTGGTGGAGCTTGGCCGCCATCGAGTCTCTGCCAATTGTTAGTTGCTTGCTCCAGCCAGACCAAGAGCAGAGAGGACTGGCCACCCCCAAAGCACGGAACAGCAGTGTCCTTCTTCCTGGGCTTGCTCTGCAGCAGGAGAAGGGAGGGACTGGAATGTCACTGGGCTGGGGCATGGGCAGCCAGATGAATCAGTCAAATTAGAAAACACGAGGAAAGGATGGGGGGACACTTCCTCAGCCCCTTTCAGAACCAGACATCTCTGGCTCCTAGTGTCATTTGATGTCTAAATCCAGCAGTCTCACGAGACCTTCTCCCTCTTAACTACCCAGGCAGAAAGGACAGTTCTCAGTGGGCTGTGACAGTTTTGCAACCTTGTCATCTATCTCCATGCCGATCCCTTCTCCTGAGGGCTTCCAAATTTGGTGTGAAGGCTGAAAATTGGTTGTTGAGGTCCATTTAACTCAGGCTAGAATTAGAAATAGTCTTTCTGGGCCAGGTGTGGTGACACACACCTGTCATCCCAGCACTCAGGAGGCTGAGGCAGGGGGATACTCATGAATTCAAGGCCAGCTTGGGCTATATAATGAGCTCAAGGTACACACTCAAGGCACACTACATAGTGAGACCCTGTCTTCAAAAAAACAAACCATAGCAACAAAGGAATGAAACTGTGATTAAACAAACGTGGCTAGAAGAAGTTAGTATCTGGTGAGCTTGTGGAATCACTGAAGAAAGCTGCTGTCCGTGAAGTTCCTTCCTTCAGGGAATAGAGGTGAGGAGCAGGACAAGGGAAGGAGGAGCCTCCTGTAGCCTCAGCACCTGCTCTGAAGCACCAGGGGGAAGTGGCATCCTCTGGAGACTTCTGCCTTGATCTTTTCCAAAGATGCAACTGCATACTAGTGTTATTCTCACGCCTAGCAGTAGAAAGCACTGACGGTTCAAGCCCGGTTCTGGGTTCAAATCCCACACGTGCATTTATGAAGCTAGTGACTTTGGAAAAAGTAACTCCATTTGGCCTTCGTTTTCTCATTGGGAAACTTAGGAATGGTCACGTATTTATTTATTTATTATTTGTCACATATTTCTTGCAGGATCTTTGGTAGGGTTGAGTTGAAATCAGAAATTCGTGTAAAGGCTCTAATAGAATCTGCCACCCCATACGTGTAAACATTGGTCTGACACACTGTCCTGGGCTCACTGGTGCCCCAGCTCCTCTCTTAGTTCTACCGTCTGGAGCGGAGTAGTTCCAGTTCAGCGGGAAAAGCTGCACTGGGTATGCAAGGGAGATAGGAAGAGCAACTGATGGACAGAGAGCATCTGGCGGTCAGATCACTGCCCGGCATTGCCCGACATGAGGTCCTGGGGCAAAGCTGACAAGCAGCAGTCGATGGCTTTCGGGTGGTCCTGGGCATTACCGTTGCCTCACTGTGGCCAGGGTCATCTTGTTTTTTTCCCTGGTGAAAGTTAGGGGAAGAAAAGGGGTTGTGTGCATGGTCCCCACGGATAGGACCTTCCAAGTTAAGGGGCAGCTCATGGAGAGGGTTCTGGAGGAAGAGAGCTTGCGACAGCCGGCTGGCTCATACTTGCCTGTCTTGCCCTCTGGAGTACTGATCATGATGAAAAGGAAGTCATCATTTGGGTGGTCATTGGTTCAGTGTTCGTCACCCTCATAGACAGACAATCGCAGGGAGCTTGAGAGCCAGCAGGTACTCAGTAAATACTTGTGGAGTGAATAGATGATTAATTGTGTTAAAGTCAGAAGGATATGACTCAACTTCTGTGCCTCTGCTCACAGGGAGACGACCTTGGTGGTGTATATCATGACTCTGGTGGGCATGGTGGTCTACACGTTGACTTTGAACCTGGGATACCTGTGGGTAGTGTTCGTCACTGCTGGCACATTGGGGTGAGTGTCACCTCCGACCTGTTAAATTGGAAAACTACGGGGAAAGGAAAGGAGATGTTATGAGACCCCTGCCATGGTCCTGGCCTCCTGCAAGCCAATGTCCGAGAGAGAGAAAAGTGGAAATTAAAAGAAACACAGAGACAGAGACTTGAGAGAGAAACGGAGTCTTGGGCTCATCTAAACCGCTCTGGGCAACAAAGACAAAGGACTCCCAGAACATCCAGCATTTATTCTTTATAAGGGTGGGAAGTGGGGAGCTGGGCAGGCCTCGGACACCTGCTGATAACAAGTAGCAAGCAGGCAGGACTGGAGAATGAGGGCACAAGCATATCTTTGCTGAAGAGAACAAATAGTTTTTTCAGAGGAGAAGAATCTAGTTGGAGTCAGTTGATCTTGACTGGGAGTGAACTCAGCCAAGCTCTGCTATGTCCAATGTAACACAGCAGAATTAGGGAGGGACAAGAAGCTGGTGCCACTGTAGCCTGCTAATATTGGGCAGAGGTGTCTGCCTCAGAAAACACCACCCATGTCTTCTAGAACTGCCAGTATCCCAGGATACAACACCGAACTCGTCTCCAGATCTGGGGACGTCTCACTCCCAGCATGGGGCTGTGTTCTCAGGACACGGTCCCTCAGCTGAAGGTGGAACACGCCAGGCTTCCCCGCCCCTCCCTAAGTGCTGCTCTGCCATTGACACAGGATAGAGAAGCACTGGGCACGCACTGTGCACAAGGCCTGCACATGAGTTTCTTCCCGTTCGCAGGGATGGCCCTCCTTTGGAATGGCCGCCTAGGCGGGGGGCAGATTGTCCAGGACCCGGCATGTCTTGATGGGAAAGGAAAACGGGGGAGGGCGTCTTAGGGCAGGTGGGCTCCCCACGCTTGCCCTGGAAGTTCTCCGTCACCTTGTTGCTCTCTTCTGGACTTCAGCTTCTTTATGACTGGCTATCTCCCGCTGGGGTTCGAGTTTGCGGTGGAGCTCACATACCCAGAATCAGAGGGCATGTCGTCTGGCCTCCTCAACGTGTCTGCACAGGTAGAGCTTCTGTTTTCTCCTCGTTCCCTGCCTAGCTGCGCTGGCATTGCATTGGGGCAGCTGGGTTCTGTCTAGGGATCATTTGGCTGGACCCTTCTTTGCAATTTTCCTTATATTTTTTCAGGTATTTGGAATCATCTTCACCATCTCTCAGGGCCAGATTATTGACAACTATGGAACCAGGCCGGGGAACATCTTCTTGTGTGTGTTCCTCACCCTTGGGTCGGCCCTCACGGGTGAGTTGGGGCTTGAGGGCCAGATGAGGCTCATGCTGCTCATGGGTAAGGCTGTTGGTGATGTGGGACCCTGTGTCTTGGTCGTGCAGTTGGGGAGCACACGTGCAAGGAAGTTTTTGTTAGGAAATCTGTTGGGGGGGCAGTAATATGTTTTAGTTGAATGAAGTTGGGCTTTGGAGTCAGAAGACCCACTTTTGAATCCATTCTGACACTGACTTCCCTGGTTTTTGTTTTGTTTTGGTTTGGTTTTGGTTTTTTGAGACAGGGTCTCACTATATAGTTGAGACTGACCTGGAACTCACTGTGTAGCCAGGGCTGGTCTCAAACTCATAGTGATCCTCCTGCCTCAGCCTCCCGAGTGCTGGGATTACAGGCGAGTGCCACCATGCCCGGCTGACTTCCCTGGTTTTTTACTTTGGGGGCCTTAGTTTCCTAACCTGTACAATGAGAATTGTTTGTGATGTTTAGAGCAATGTAAATAAAGTCCCTAGCAAATGTGAGTGACCCTGAAGTATCATCATTGGATTCTGATTGTAGCAACAGCAGTGAGTCCTGGGCTTTGCCGAGTTGGCTGATGATGCCAACTTGCTTTTGAATGTCTGAAGTAGGTTTGGGATGTCTAGGAGCTTTAGGAAAACAAGGGCTCCCCCCTCAGGAGTGAACTTGACCATTGGATCTACTTGATGACTGTCACTCTTCTTTTTCAATTTCAGCTTTCATTAAGGCAGATCTCCGGAGGCAAAAGGCAAACAAAGAAACTCCTGAGACTGTGAGTATGCGGGAGCTGGGTGGGAACAGCTTCTGGGTCCTGGGCTTGTTTGAGGATGTGGCACCATAGATGGGGCCGAGGGAACTCCCACAGGACTGGTGGTGGCTGTGAGATCAGCTCCTCTCACAATCTTGGCAGCCTAGGGGTTTCCTCGGTGGAAGTTTAGCTTGATCTTCTGTTACTCTTTCCTGGGCTTTCCTTCACTTCATTCCCTCCTCCTGGCTCCCCTGCTGTGGTCTCTGGAGAATGGCACTGTCGTCTGCTGAATGGCACCCTTGGATGCTGAGCCAAGTCCCAAATCCCTGGCTCCAGTGTTGTCCACCTGGGTCAGTGGCTAGACAGGAAAGGTGGGAGCCTGGCTGGACCACTCTCACGGCGATGGTGGCGCTGAGGCAGTGGCTCTCTTGCCATGTGATAGCCCTTGCAAAGGGTCATGGGGATGGAGCCAACATGTTGCCAGTAGGGCTCTAAAAGGACAAGCTGGGAAATAGAAGGTGATGGGGATGCGGAGAGGAGAGGGCCAGGAAGACGACCTCAAACTGAGCAATGTTTCCCATCTGCTCTAAGCAGCCGGGTCCACTTAAACCAAAGTGTTGAGGATCAGTTCTGAGCAAGGGGCTGGGTAGAGTTCAGCCCTTGCCTAGTTCATGTGAGGCTCTAGGTTTGATCCCTTGACCAGGAGTGGGAGAGGGGACAGGGGAAGGGGATGGGAAGGGGAGTCACAGCTGAGCAAGGATAAACAGAACTGCAACTCTGAGGAGGACTAAAAGTAGTATATTTCTTACCAAAACACAGACTAAATAAAACTAACAAATTCATTGCAGAAATAATGTATACTCTTTGTAGAAAAACTGAAAAAAGTGTAAAATTTTAAGCCAAGTACGGTGGTACATGCTTGTAATTCTAGCACTTGGGAGGCTGAGGCAGGAGGATTGCTGCAAGTTGCCAGCTTGAGCTACATAGGGAGTTCAAGGCCAGTCTGAGCTATGTAATGAGATCCTGTCTCAAAAAACAAAAAACACACCAAAAATTTTTTTAAAAAATCACTTTGCAATCCTTCATCTAGAGATACTATTATATTTATATTAATTTATGCACATCTATGACTATATATCTATATATATATACGTATATATATATCTAAACAAGGGCAAAGTACACAAGTTTAATGAAAGTTTTACATGACAGAGAAGCCCTCATAAAGAAACAAATTGCTAAAGAAGTTAGTTATTTATGCAGTATATATAAATATATATTTTAAAGCAAACATAGAATATGTTTTTAAGCTTATTGCAATCTTTATCAGGCTATTAGCCTTCTGCAATATATATTTCAATGATTGCATAATATTCCATCGTAAAGACAAACCATGATTTGTTTAATAGTTTTCTCGTCTGATCATTAAAGTTTTTTTGGAAGCTGAATCTTTTACATGTTTTTTTGTTTGTTTTTTGTGTCCTGGGAATGGAGCTCAGGGCCTTGTGTTTTCCAGGCAGGCACCACATGGCTGAGCTACACATTCCCGGCTTTTTACACATTCTTAAGTGTACAGCATTTCCTAAAGAAATGAATGCCTGGAGATGCCTCACGTGTGTCACTAAACTGTCGTTAGAAAGGTCCCATGAGCTGTACAGCACACATGACTGTGGCGGGCTGCAGCAGTCCAATGCAGAGCACCTCTCACTTTGAAAAACCTTCTCCAATTTTCTAAGGCAAAACCAGTTTTCTGCAAGAGATGTTCATAGCACTTAAGGATGTGTGTTGGCACAGATGAGGGTGTTCGGTTCTTTACTGTTTGTCCTCTTATAACACATCCTGGTCTTGGCGGGTGGCGGAAGCAGGTAGCACAAGGAGGTAGGGGCCTTGGGTCAGAAATGGGCCACCAGGGAGGGGAGAGCTGCCTGAGGAGCAGGGGCCCCGGGATGTGGGCTTTCCCCAGGGCTGAGGAGCGTAGTGATTTGGTACACTTGGATTGAGAAACATGTGCTAAGCCTGGACGAAGGTGTCTGAGTGAAATGGGATAGATTTTTTGATGAGAAATTTTCAATTTAGCTTGTGATATATCATGCCAAGTGACATGAGATTTTGCTGCATTTTCTTTCTTTCTTTTCTTTTCTTTTCTTTTTTTTTGAGACGGTCTCACTATGTAGTTGAGACTGACCTGGCACTCACTATGTAGCCCAGGCTGGTCTCGAACTCACAGCGATTCTCCTGCCTCAGCCTCCTGCATGCTGGGATTATAGGCGTGCGCCACCACACCCAGCTGCGGTGTTTTCTTTAAAATCTGTGTTTACACTGGTATATATAGGGAAACAAGAAAAAAAAAGTAGAAATCACCTGTCACTCTACCTCCCAGAGATACCCTAGTTGCGTCTTAGTCCAATTTCCAATACTGTAATCTATGGGTATGCTTGTGTATATTTTATTTTCTAATCCATATATTTTCTTGATGTAGCTTGACAAACTTTCCACACGATCCTCCCTGCTGCCTCTCCTCCACAGATATCTACATTTTTCATCTCTTTCACCTGTATACCATTCCAGTTGTTCCAGTATTTCACTCTTCTTGCAGCCAGACCCTTGGGCACATGGTTGGAGTTGCTGGCTCAGTCTCCTTGACTATGAGATATCAGAAGTACATTGGACTCTGGAGTTATGACCAGCCTGACATACGAACAACTTGGGTTATGACTGGAATTTGTTTTAACTTATGACCAAAGTCTTGAGTCACAACCTGAATGCTGGCTCAGATACAGATTTAAACCTTAAAGCATTCTGGAAGGAACACTACAACATCCTTTCTTGTGTGGGATTGATTGAGAAATCCTGGGTCAGTGTCTCTCTAAGGACACTGAGATCTGCTGGTGTACAGGAGAGAGAGACTTTGAAGGCTGTGTAGAGGAGCCTGAGCCTTCAGTTGAGCAACTTGAGTTGCCACCAGCCCTTGAGAGAAAACTGAGTTCATAAATCAAGGGTTCACTGTAACACTGAATAGAAACAGAAACCTAAGGTTGCGGTAGTGAAGCTCGACTGTCTTGTGTCCCTGGATAATTCGCTGTGTGTGTCTGGACCTCACTGCATCTGAAGGTACTTAGTATTTTTCTTTTTCTCATTGAGTTTACGGGTACATTTTAGGTATACAGTACAGTTACATTCACCATTGGGATCCTGTACCTTTACATGACAGGTCTTGGTTCTCATTTTTTCCCCTTACCCCTGCCCTCCCTTCACTCCTTCCTCTCTTCCCCATTTACAAACACTTTATTTCCATTTTTTCATTTTCTCATATTTTTTTCTTTTCCCTTATTACCTTTCCCCTACCCTTCCCACTTTCCCTACATGTTTAGCCTTTTTCTTCCTATTTCACGTTGTTAATTATACCAGTAGGATTTTATGTACCATTATAGTTTTTCACACCAGACAAATTATTCGGTATTTATACATGTGTGACTTATATATTTGACTTAGGAGTATATCCTCAATATGTATCCATTTTCCTATATGAATGACTCTAATTTCTCATTCTTTATGGATGAGTAGTACTCCATTTTATAGAAAAACCACATCTTCTCTATCCAGTCTCCAACTGATGGGCAAATGGGCTGTTCCCAACTTTTTGCTATTACAAACTGTGCCACTATAAACATAGGTGTGCATGTATCACTGTGATATGATTCTTTTAATTCTTTTGGAAAGATACGCAGCAGATGGATGGCTAGATCAAATGGAACCTCTAATTCCAGTTCTTTGAGGTATCTGCATATTGATTTCCACAGTGGATGCTCCAGTCTGCACTCCCACCAACAATGGAGAAAGGTTCCTTTCTCCCCACAACCCGCTAACATTTGTTATTGGTTGATTTCTTGACAGCAGCCATTCTTTGTGGGGTGAGGTGCAATCTCAGTGTTGTTTTCATCTGCATCTCTCAAATAACCAGTGATGTGGAACATTTTTTCATATATTTACTTGCTGCTTTTACTTCTTTGTTTGAGAGATGTCCGTTCATTTCAGATGCCCATTTTTGAATCAGGTCTTTATATTTGGGGGGGCTGATTTTTTTTGCATTCTTTATATATTCTAGATAATAGTCCTTTGTCTGAGGGGCAGCTGGTAAAAATTTTCCCACATTGTAAGTTGTCTTTTAGTTGTGTTGATGGTTTCTTTTGCAGTGCAGAAGCTTTTAAATAGGATGAGATACCAGTTGTTGATTCTTTCTGCTAGTTCCCATGCTACTGAGGATTTGTTCATAAAGTCTTTTCCTATGCCAATGTCTTCAAGAGTTCTGCCTAACTTACCTTCCAGCAAATTTAATGACTCTTTTTAAAAAATATTTGGATCTTTAAACCACTTGGATTTTAGTTTAGTGCCTGGTGAAAAATAAGAGAAGTTTTAATCTTTGGCGGGTGGAAATCCAGTTTTCCAACACCATTTATTGAAGAGACTGTCTTTCCTCCACTGAGGATGGTTGGCTCCTTTGTCAAAGATGAGGTAGCTGAGTACATCTGGAGTTGTTTCTGTATCTTCCAATCTATTCCACTGATCCTCAGGTCCATTTCTTTGCCAGTACCATGCTGTTTTTATCACAGTGGCTTCATAGTATAGTTTCAAGTTGGGGATTGTTATACCCGCTGCCATGTGTCTGTTGCCTAGAATGGCTTTTGCTCTTTTAGGTCTCTTCTGGTTCCAAATGAATTTTTGGATTATTTTTTCTAGTTCTGTGAAATATAGTGTTGGAATTTCAATCGGCATTGCATTGAATCTGTATAGCAGTTTTGGTAGTATGGCCATTTTCACTATACTGATTCTTCTTAAGGGCCGGGGATTTAGCTCAGCTTCTTACCCAGGAGCAGAGGATATCTTTCCATTTTCTTATATCCTCTTCAATCTCTTTTTTCAGAGTGCTGTAGTTTTCAGTGTAGAGGTCTTTTGCTTCTTTCGTTAGATTGATTCATAGATACTTCATTTTTTTGAATGCTATTGTGAAATGAATTGTTTCCCTGATTTCTCTCTCAGTGAATCTGTCATTTGTGTACAAGAAGGCTATTGATTTTTGAGTGTCGACCTTGTATCCAGCTACCCTACTAAAAGTGTCAGTTAAGTCTAGAAGTCTTTTGCTGGAGTTTTTTGGGTCTTCAATGTAGAGTACCATAACATCAGCAAATAATGACAGTTTAACTTCTTCCTCTCCTATCTTTATTGCTTTCATTTCTTTCTCTTGTCTAATTGCTGTGGCTAATGTTTCCAGAACTATATCGAAGAGGAGTGGTGATAGTGGGCATCCTTGTCTTGTTCCTGATTTTAACATTAAGGTTTTCAGTTTTTGGCCATTTAATATGATGTTAGCTGTTGGTTTTTCATAGATAGCCTTTATTAAGTTGAGATGTAGACCATCTATTCCAATTTTTTCAGGGTTTTTATCATGAATGGGTGTTGACTTTTGTCAAATGGTTTTTCTACATCTATTGAGAGGATCATATGCTTTTTTGTCCTTGACTCTGTTAATATAGTGTATTACATTTATTGACTTACGTATGTTGAACCATCCTTGCATCCCTGGAATAAATCCGACTTGGTCAGAATATATGATCTTCTTGATGATCCTCTGTATTCTGTTTGCTAGTATCTTATTAAGGATTTTTGCAATTATATTCATTAAGGAGCTTGGGCTGTAGTTCTCTTTTTCTTAGTTGGATCTTTCGCTGGTTTGGGAATCAAAGTGGTACTTGCTTCCAGGAATGAATTTGGAAGTATTGTGAAGCTACTTAGTATTAAGAGGAAGTCAGAGTCATGCTACGGCCAACACCAGTGCAGCTATGGCTGTCACAGAGTCCCACTCTTCTAGAGCCCTGTCATTCACCACCCGTGGCGGTCAGTGTAACTCAGAGACCTGCAGACAAATGCACTGTCAGGGTTAGCTAAGGACAGGGCATGTAGCAGACCTGACCAGATCCCTCTTCCTGCCTATCAGTGAAATGTACGGCTTGGCTAAAAAGACTGAACTTCTGGGGCAGGAGTAGAGACTGACCTTGACTATGAAATTCATAGTTTGGGTTTCTATTTTTCTTCTAACACATAGATAGTGGCTGTGCTTTCGCCCATACCATCCTATCTCTGATTGTGATTTCCAGGTGATGGCTTTGGGGTGACAGGAACACATGCGTGCACAAGTGTGTATGCACAGGGAGAGGCTGAGCCTGTCAGTTTCCTGAGTGAAGTTTCTCCATGGCTGAGGCTGACTGTGGTGCAAAGGTTAGCAAGCCCAAGAAAGGGAAGGTTAGATCTCTACAGCTGTCACCCTTGCCATTTGCTGGCCACCAGATACTCGGGGAAGAAAGCATCATTTGTCAGCTGACCTCTAGCCTGGCCTTGCGCATGCTCCTCGGGGCCTGGGGTGGTGCTGGGCTGCAGAGCTGGGTCTGTGCCCAATGTCTCCTTGCTAATTAGACCTCTTGTGGGAACAGGCAAAGTACTGCTTGAAACAGCAGGCAAATGCCCAGGTTGGCAGTACGTGCCAAGGTCCCCCCACAGGATAATTTCTAGGCCATATCTAGTTCCAAACCCACCTGACAAGTGTGGCCGGGAGAATCCTCTGCCATCCTTCCCTGAGAAAGCTGAGGTCAACCTGCCATGAAGTCTCTTTGCCTCTGCATAAAGTATGAATACACCGCATTAAGTTTATATATACATTTATACATGCTGCCTTTAAAAAGTTCCACTGTGGCGTCCATTCCATGGAGATTGTAATAATGCCCCCCAGTCTGGGCCCCCCGCTTAAAGGGGGCAGGTGGAAATGCTTAGGGAGTCTCAGAGCTGCCACTTTGGACAGCTGGTTGGTGGTGCATGGAGGTGACTTCTTGCCCGTCTTCTGCTTCCATCCAGTAGAGCTTGGGACGAAGTCCTCTGAGTAAGGTGGTTTGTGGTTATGGTGGTGTCATAGGAAACTGGCCTTTTCCCTTTGATAGTGGCAATTGTGGGGAGCAGGGCTTGGGGGGTGCACTTAGGCAGGGGCTGGCGGCTGCTTTTCCCCATTGGCTTTGATTGTTCTTGTGGATACTGAATGGCCTCTGGCTCAGGCCCACTGATTAGAGTCAGGGCCAGGCAGCTGCTGCATCCAGGGCAGAGCCTTGCGCTTTTTACCCACAGGGCTGCCTGTCTGCTTTGCCTTACAGAAAGCCCAGGACGAGGAGGAGGACGAGGACAGTAACACCAGCAAGGCGCCCACTGTCATAACAGAGGTCCATCTCTGAGAGGTGGCGGCGACTCAGGGAACACGAACACCCCACCTCTTCACTCAGTCCAGCTCTCACTGCCAGCACAGGTCTTCATTGGAGAAGCTTTTGGAGGGAACCAGCTGAAATATTTGTGGCTCGCATGGCAGTACCTGTGCTTCCGGGAACCCCCTGAGAGCTTGGTTTCTTATTCCCCACCCCTACCCCTTGAGGAGCTTGAAGGTGGCAGTGTTGGGCGGGCTGGCGCATGGTATTCGAGTCATCCTGTCTTGGCCCCTCGCCTTCTCTCATCACCTTCACCCTCTTGGAGAACACTTGCAAAATTATCACAGGAAGAAAGCTTATTCAGGATATGAAATTTTCTAGTGTCTTAAGGGCCTCTTCACCTGCAGCCCAGTTCTTTCTAAGGGAAGGCAAGCTGCCCTGCCTTCCTTCTGCGTTCCTGGGTCATCAGAGGGACTGTGTGACAACCTCCCTCAGAACAGCCTCACAGGGTAACTCCCTTAGAACCCTTGGCCCCAGCGGGGATCTGTCTAATATTGGGATCTATCTGCATATTGTTCTAGGAGCTGATCAGACCAAATATCAATAAACTTGACCAATATTCTGTTGTGGCCATGCCGAAGGAACTGATCTGGGAGGAGTAACTACCTTGAGCTGGGAGGGGAAGGTAGTTTTCCCACAAAAGCAGTTCTTGTCCAGGTACATCAGTGCGTCCCTGGCCGTTCCCTACGCCCTCATCTGGACCCTGCACTAGGAGACTCAGCCAATAGCCTAAGCACGTGTTCTATCCTGAGGAGCAGTCACAGCCCAGTTCACTCTCGACTTCACTGAAAATCCTCTCTGACAAGTCCAAGGCTGCGCCTGAGAGACGAGAGGAGAGGGGTAGCAGGAAAGGTGCTTCTTGAAATGGGCATTGAGTCTGCTTGAACTGAACATATCCCACCTCTAGTGGGGACAGCATTTTCACATCCACCCTCTCTCCTACCTCCTGCTAGCAATAGTCTTGGTCAGATATTCTAAAGTTAAAGGGATCCCCTTTAACCAATTGAAGCTGACCCCCTTTCCTGCTTAGCCTCCTCGTCTGGCTCTTCTCACGGGCATCAGTAGCATCTCCTGAAACAAGAGGAATTTAGGGGTTTCTCCTGTGCATTGAGCAGCTGTGACATGGACCACTGCTGTCTGGCTTTGGCCATGGTTGGTCCTGGCCTTAGTGTATCAGAGCAGCCTGGGCTGGCTGGGTGCTGGTGTTGGCCCTGGGGGACCAGATGAGCATACAGAATAGTATTTGTATGCAGTATCTGTATACAGAACCAAGCAAGGGATGGGATGCTGTGTATGTAATAAAAGAAGTCTACTCTTGTAGAGAAGTGAGGGTTGGGGTAGAAGGGAGGTGTGCCTTACTTTTGGACAGGAGACAAGTATTTATTCTTCGGCCCCTCAAAATGTATTCACTGCATGTTTACTGAATCCAGGGCTTTATTTTAAAAACACAAGTTGTATTTTCTATTTGTGATACCAGTTTTTGAGGCAATAAAGGGATCTTAAAGTGGTCTGCGTGGTCATTTGGTGGGGCAGAGGCAGTTTCTGGCAGCCCCCACGAGATTATCATGCATTTCTGAGGGCTGTGGCTGGAGTGTGTAGGGAAGGCTAGAGGAGCTGGAGGAGCAGTAGGATCTGTCCTCTGCGGACGTGAGTGCCACCCTCCAGGTGACTTTTTTAAAGACTGTACCTGGGTGTGGTGGTACATACCTATGATCCCAGCTACTGGGGAGCTAAGGCAGAGGACTGAGTTTGAGGCCAGTCTGGGCGACATAGCAAGTCTCCATCTCAAAAGATAAATGAATAAAAAAGAACGATGGCACTGTAAAGGTTTCTGTCTGCTTACGTGGGATACTGCAACTCAGTGGCCAGCGAGTGACCCTGGCCTCTTCCCCCAGGGTGCACACATGGAAATGTGACTGCTGACGGGACAGCCCAGTGTTGCTTTTGGCTCTGCCTCAGAGAGTGGCCGAAGTGTTTGTTCTGTGATCATCCCCGTCACGCACCGGCTCGCTCTGGCCAGAGTCCACAGCTGGGGCCCAGCATCCGCAGTGGTGCTCTGCCGGATTTCCTTCTGACCAGTCCTACTTCCTGCCACTACTCCCACCCCGACTGTGCTCACCTTGCACCTGGGCCGCCGAGAGGCTGCTTTGATCTGTTTCCTGTATATTTCTTCCCTAGTGCTGCACTATGTGGCATCGTAGCACTGCATTTACTAGCAAGTCTTAGGTGTAGACAGTATAGCTCTACTTCACTTATTTTAAGAGACAGGTCTTTATTTATCTTTGGTACCGGAGATTGAACTTGAGACCTTGTGCTTGTGAGGCAGGTGGCAGCACCATTGAGCTAAATCCTTGGCCCTATTTCACTTATTTTAAAGTTTTATTAGTACATGCTTGCAATACATGATGATTACATTCACCATGGGGATTTCGTGCATGTACTTACCTGTTTTCTTTTTTTGTTTTTATTTGAGACAGGGTCTCACTTGTAGTTCAAACTGGCCTTGAACTCTGTAGCCTAGGCTGGCCTCAAACTTGCGTTTATCCTCTTGCCTTAGTGCCCTGCGTGCTAGAATTTTAAGTGCACACCACAACACCTGGTTAATAACACATCTTAATGCTTTTTACACCTATCTCCATTCTACTTTAAGTCACCTGGGGAGGGACTCAGACTCAAGCCTGGGCTGTTAAGGTAAATGTTCTACTTACATCATCTCTTTAGATCCACGCTTAAAGGATCCATATTTTAGGGAATCCCACTTTAATTTTTCTGGTATCAGATATCCAACTCAGGACCTTGTGCTTGCAAGGCAGGCACGATGCCACTGAGCTAAATCTCCGGCCCCAGAGGATCCACACTTTATACTTTGCTTCTCTCTTTTCTGTGGCTTCCAGCCAGAAAGAGCCTTCCTGGGCTGTATAGAGGGGAGGGGCCTGCTCCCGGGCATCATCCTTGGGGTCAAGTTGGCTCCTTTTCATGGTCATGCAGCTGTTTCTCTGCGCTAATTCTATTTTCTGTCTCTGCACTCAGATGTTAACTCTCAGGTCACTGCCTACACCCCCTCACCGCCTCTTTTCAACAGTGGTAAGGAAAAGATGGTTCTTAGCACGAAGCTCTTTCTCTAGATGTAGTAGTGTGGAGGGTTGCAGCCTGGAATCGCTGTGCCCCCTTTTGGCTCCATAAAGGAGCCCGAGGAAGCAACACAGCTGGGCAAAGCCGAATCACAGAGCCACGGCCAGAGTCCACATGAGACCATCCCTGAAGACTGTAATCCTCATAACTTGGGCTGCACCAGCCGTGTCCTCTTTACTGTTTAGGATAGATTTTGTTCCTTTTCCCCTAAAGAGCTGCCGGAACTGGGGATGTAGTTCAGTGATCGAATGCTTGCCTAAAAATGCAAAGCCCTGGGTTCACCTCTAGCTCTGCTGGGGCTGGGGGCCTGAAGGAGAAAATTCCCAGTGTGTTCAAGAACTAACGTTGACCGTCTTCATGCCCTTGCAAGACTCTGCCTCCCTTTCACTTCCTCTTCATCATACTCGTTACACTGAACTCACTCCGTGAACAAGACTCTGCCTTCCAGGTGCCCCTCTCTCGGCCTTAAGTGCCTGCTTCATGTCTCAAGACCTCTGACTCCCGAGCTTAAGTCTCACTTAAAATCCCACCACCTCACAGAGAGGTTTGATTTCCTCATACCCTCCACCTCCCTCCTCTTGTTTGAGACACCTTGTTTTCTGTAAGATTCTTCTATCAGAAGTTCCTACCACCTTGACTAGTGTAACCCCCACAGGCGTGGAGGGCTGCCTATCTTGTCGATTTTTCCAGTGTCTGGCAGAGAGAAATACTCAATAAACACTGAAATAACAAGTGGCCTTTCCAGTATAATCACTGTGTGGGCAGTGTGTGGAGGGAGGCGCCTGCTCGGGGTCTAGTTGGCTCCTTTTCAAGGTCATGCAGCCTTTCCTTCTATGCTAATTCTGTTTTGTCTTGGCATCCTCAAGAACCCATTTCTTTAGGAAGAAAGTAGGAAAGGGTCTTGATGCTGAGTTGTGAACTCAGAACCTTGAAGATGGGAAAGAGGAAGATTTGACTTTGAGGAAGCTCAGTATGGTAGCACATGCCTATAATCACAGCACTCTGGGAAGCTGGCACTGGAGGGTTGCAGATTTGAGCCCAGCCTGTGCAATTTATCAACAAGAGATCCTTTATCTAGATAGGTAGATGGAGGGGGGGGTAGCGCAGTACAAAAGCCCTGGTTCAATCCCCAGCATGGGGGAGTAGGGAGAGAAAAGGTGTGAAAGTAAATGACAAAGGAACAGGAGGTGTGGAGGCAGCTGGGCCGACCGGGCTCTTGAGCTGTCCCCCTCAAGCGGAGGATCTGATCAGGCAGAAAGCTGTGACTCTCTTACCCTAGGGCTCAGGAAGGGCCAGGCTGCTCTTGTCTTAGAGGAGGTCAAAGTACAAGGACTGAGCACAGCAGAGGGTTCTTTTTTCTTTTTTTAATTACAAAATCTGTGACACAAATACAATTGACCAGAAGGTCTAAAAACAGCCCAGACTCTCCCAACCCTCCCCTGCCTGTGGTAAGAGAGGAGCCTTGGTCCTGCTCGAGCCCTCTTCAGAAGCACTGCCTGTCCCTGTCCCTGTCCCAGGGACGGTTCCGAGTCTCGGGTCCAGCCGCAGTGCGTGTGGACGATGCCGTGAAGCAGCCCTTGGTCACAGCTGCTCGGGGTGGGCAGCAGCTTTCAGTTCAGTCTCCTCTTCCCACCACACAAATCAAATCAGGGGACGGAAGTAAAAGGAAAACAAGCAGAAGGCTTTGGAAAAGGGAGCGTGGGGGGGAAGGTGGTCGTGGGTGTGGGAGGGCCTCAGTGGCAGTTTCTTGACTCAGATGGTGTTAGGGAGAGTAGCCACTTTAAAATTATCTTTAAATTATTCATACGTGTGATGTGCTTTTCTGTGTGCGTGATACATCTTAAAAATTTTAAAATGGAAAACAAAACCAGAAAATTTAGAGGCTAAAAGTGGGAAAGGGGCTGAGGACAGAGCTGAGAAGAAACTGAACAGAAGAGAGGATGAAGGAGGAAGACAGCAGAGGTGGAAGATGAGAATGTTTTGGAGGTGGTAGCGCTGGCCTCAATTCCTTTTCTTCTGCCTGGATACTGGTTCTGCCTCCAGGTACCGCAGCCCGACCAGCATGCCCAGGATTGAGAAACCTTAGACACACAGAAAAGATGAGTGGGCAACAACTCAGCCTCTTTTAGAGAATCCCTGGACATCCCTGGAGCTGGGCCAGCTGCTGCAGTTCTGGGGTGGCGGGGTGCTTACTTGCCACCATCAGGGGTGCCAGGACGCCGATTGTGGGAGCTGCAGTTCCAAACACAAGCAACTCAGACAGGAAGTGGCCCAGGGCGAGGAAGAAGGTCCACAGTGTGATGTGATAGAGCCTGCAAGGGAGCAGACAGAGATGGGAAGAGAGGAGTCAGACCTATACACAGGTGCGATGACTGCGGTTTAAAAAAGAAGGATGCTTGTTCAGGAAAGCACCAGGCTATTTGATCACATCACTCTGCCGTCACCTAGGGCAAAACTAAAGGCTTTAGAGGCTCTGAGAGAATGGTCCATATACCCAGAGTGGGCTCTGACTCTTAGCCAGAGCTTAGCTAGAGCTGAGCAGTCTGGGTATGGCAATCCCAGGCAGTGCAGACGGTTCAGGCTCTATTGCACCTAAGAGGCGACTTGCGGAACTGGTGTCTGTCCACACGCCAGCCAGTGTTTATAGAATGAATGTCCTGAATGGGGCGCAAGGTGCGCGGCATCTCTGAGGCTTTGCGATGTGCTGGTAGCACAGGCTGGTTACTCTGGATCTTAGCCTTAGAAGAGTGGCCAGGCAGCAGACACAGCAACGTTGCCATGGGATGAGAACTCCAACTTGTTCCTCAGCTGTGACTGTGAGGTAGAGGAGATAGACTGCTATCACCTGGGTTGCTGATAACATTTTTTTCCTTTTGGTTTTTTGAGACAGGGTCTCACTATGTACTTAGGCTGACCTTGAACTTACTATGTAGCCCAGGCTGGCCTCACACTCATAGAGCACCTCCTGCTTCAGCTTCCTGAGTGCTGGGATTACAAGTGTGTGCCACTACACCCAGCCTGTGATAACATTTTTCTAAATTATGAAATTAAAAAATTTAGGAAACACTTCAAACACATAAAAAAATTATACAATATTATAATGACTTCCATGCAATCAGTATCTAGCACCATCAAATTTGGAGATTTTTGTTTAGACATTTTTTTCTAATAAGTAAAATATTACAAAAAAATAAAGTATGTCCGGCATGGTGGTACATGTCTATAATCAGGAGGCTGAGGCAGGAGTATTCCCATGAGTTTGAAGCCAGCCTGGGCCACATAATGAATTCAAGGCTTGCCTGAACTACATAGTGAGACAGTCTCAGGAAAACAAACAAGTTTTGCAGATAACAGTTAAAGCATTCTGTGTAGCATTATCTTATCTTGACCTTCTCCATCCCTCCAACCCAGAAGTAAATGGTTTCATTATTCTGGTGCATGGTTTTTTTATATACATTTGGTAAACAAGAGCGCACTGTGTTGCTTTTTGCTTTTCAAGTCTGGGAGGGAAGAAGATCAGAGTACATGCCAGAAGTGCCTAGACCAAAGTCCTAGCTGGAAGGGCCAGAAACGGCAAGTTAGCATTTGTAGCTACCCTGTTCCTGGTGAGGGGAAAAGTGAAGGGTAAGAAAGGTAAGGGCATGTGTGAGTCGCCTCTGCTCACTGCAAAGCACAGTGAACACAGGATGTACTCCAGCGATTCTTCCCATGGTGAAGATCCTTCAAATGATCATTCAGTCCTCCCTCTCAGCCACGCTGAGAAACACAACGGCCATCTTCATCATTTCACAGGTGAAGAGACAAAGGTGCGGAGAAAGTAAACAATGAGTGCGTTGCTATGAAGCTAGTTACCAGCACAACAGATCAGAATGCACTTTCTTTTCGTTCTTGGCCCAGGCTGTTTCCTCTAAACCATACTGTGTCCAAAAATATATGTCAATCTAGGGCAAGTAAACCACAGTTTCAAGTTAAAAAAATTAAAAATAAAGTTGGAACGATCAGAGGGCTTGCTTCAAATCCCACCTGAGTCAGGCTTCTTCAATCTAAATTAATTGGGTCTCTTAAGATTTAGATGTGCAAAATCAGGAATGAAAACCACTGCCTCCTAGGGCTGCCAGGAGTCGGCTTAATCAAGGTCATGGAGGTGAAAGCTCTGCCACAATTAGAGGGGCTCAACGAGTACTACTGCCTTCTCTTTTCCTCAGCGGCTGAGAGCTTGGATAAGACAAAGCTCTGTGTGAGGTTGGCATTTTGACAATCTCACCCTGTGGACTGAGCAATCTGTTTCCATCTAGCTTGTGATGATAATTGCTAGGAAGAAAGCTTTAGCCCCCTCCAGTGGCCAAAACTAGATAGAACATCATCTAGACAGGAGGCTACCATTGCCTACAACTGTTGCATGCTTAGTTCGGATAGGCGGCACACGGGGTAGCATTCCCCCTCACCCACTGACTGCCTAAGCAGACAGCAGCTTACTCGTGGGGTCTCTTTTCTCACGGACTGGGTTTGTGTTCATGCCTGCCTCTCAGGAGAAATGTGAGAAAGCCATATGTGGGTGGCTATTCTAAAATGAGCACACCAGGCTGGGGATGTAGCTCAGTGGTACAGTGCCTACCACGCTCAAGGCCCCAGGTTTAGTGCCCAACACCACAAAATAAAAACGAAAACCTGCAGCTAAAGAGTATACCACTGTACTTCTTTAGTAGAAGAAAGACTGAGGCCGGGGATTTAGCTCAGTGGCACTGTACCTGCCTCACCAGCAAAGGTCCTGAGTTTGATGCCTGGTACCAAAAAAAAAAAAAAAAAAAAAGAAGAAGAAGAAGAAAGACTGACTCTAAAGACTGAGTCTTTTTTTTTTTCTTTTATTAATCTCTTTAGTAGTTTTTCTCTTTTTCCTTTTCTGTTTTGAGACAATGCCTCCCTGTGTAGCCCAGGCTGACCGCCGACTCTTGACCCTCCTGAGTGCAGGCCATGTACCACACCTGGCTGAGAGGCTTACTGTTTAGTTAAGAAGCAGGGGGCATGGTGCAGATTACTGCAGTTTGTTCCAAAGACTTTCAGATTTTAAAGACTTGTTAAGTCTGTTGTGTTTTTTCAGCCTGGAAGGAATGGAGCCTGTTGGTCTTTTATTATCCACATTTTAGGATAATGTAGTAAAATGATTTGTGGGTCCCAACAACAAGGATGATGGAGTTTGCCTAGCACCCGATTTCCCACAAAAGAATGCTAAAGCTCTTCCTTCCCTTACATACGTCTTATTGTGGATGTCAATGGCACAGAGGCAGCGAATCACCGATGAGAGCAAGGTCCAAATTCCAAAGGTCCGAGCTTGGAGGCCATTCACTGTGTAGCAGAAAAAGCAAGAGTGTTGAGAAGTGGAGGGCTGGAGTTCCTTCCCAGTTCCTTCCATTTCACAGAAAGGAGCTGAGCTTGACCCCCCTGCGGCTGGGCAGAATGGAGGCTCTGGGGCCACACCTGGGGACTAGGAGGAACGGAACAGAATGAGAACGAGGACTTCTCAGATCCTCTTCAGAGGTCTATAGCTGGAAACCCAACAACGCACCCACATAGGCAAATAACTGCTCCTGGAAGCCCAGCGAGCCTGATCAAGGCAGGTCTGGGGGATGCTGCAAAGATGGTCAGGGAACACAAGATGCCAAGGAGGAGGCCAGAAGACTTGAGAGGGAACCAGGAGAGATCTCAGTGAGACTGGCTCCAACTGAGATGCCCTAAAGATGTGGATTACAGTTTCCAAGAGATCTGAGTCTCTGGTCTTTCTGAACCCAGACCTACATTGTCTGAACAAGACCCAAACCAGGCTGGTTTCCTGTGCACACCGGAGTGGAGCAAGGTACTATTTCTTTGGAGTTTTCTGGGGAAACTTCTTGGTGGCATCATTCTGACACTGCTGTATTAAACATCTTGTCCCGAAAGTATGGGTCATATCCCACCATAGTAGTGGTTTCTTTTTTTCTTTGAAGCAAACATTTATTATAGTGGTTCTTGACCCTGGACACTTACTGCAGTCAACTAAGGGAGTTTTATAAAATTATTAAGGCCTGAGTATTGGCCCAATTATACTATGCTCTCTTTGGCCCTGGCATAAATATTTTCTAGAAACTCTTTGCTGGGTGACTTAAATGTGTAGTCACTGACCTAAGGCAGCTTGGGAATGCCAAAACAGTGAAAGCAATGCTACTTTCCTCTGCTGGCTTCTCCCCTGCTGAGCAAGAGAAATCTCAAGGGACAAGACTCACAACTGATCGGTCTTTTAATGTTTACCTGGGCTTTAAAGATATTCTAGCCTTTGTTAAAACCAGATAGCTCTACCAAATTCACAACAATAAAGACTTTCAGACGATAGTGAAGGAAAAAAAAAATCCAGATGTCAACGAAATGCCTATATTAGCCCCAGAAAGCTAATAAACATTGTTTAAAACAAATCGGATAATTTTGATGAAAAGGCCTTACAGCAAGTCCCATGGCCTCTGAGCATCTCTATCTCAATTTTAAATTTAAAGGGCCAGGTCAGAGAATTTTTTAAGTCCTATGTACATATACAGGGTTCTAGGACCATGTAAGGGCAGCATTTGAGGGCAAAAAAAATTTTTTTTTCCTACTCAGTTTTCCAGGTTTTTTTACTCCTGTTTGAACGGTGTTCAAAATAAGCCTTAGCCTACTTAATTTCATTTTACACCCAGATGTTGCAGAAGAAGTGATCTAGGTCAGATCCTGAATCGAGGTTAGCTACAAATGTGACAGAGGACTAACGGTCTGCTGTTACGGCACAGCACTGCAGCTCAAAGTATCCCTGCAACAGCGCAACGCAGTGCGGGCCGAGGTGTAAACACACCCAGCAGAGAGGTCAGCAAGGCAGGAAAGGCTTCTGTGAGCATTCAGAGGGTTCATCTTCGGAGTCCAATGTGGAGGGATTTGGGGTATCTGCTCAGGGCCTCCATCATGGAGGGAGCCCCGGGATTAGTAACTGCCCACCTGTAATGTGGGACATCCACCATGGGTGCCATGACCTGATTTCTGAAGAGGGCTCGGAGATGCTGTTAAAAGCTTCTTCATGGTTTTCTAGTTGCGCACCTCAGTGTCACCGGATGAGGACTCCCTTGCCCTAAATCACCTTTTGTACACACACTTTGTCCAGGGCAGTGTGGGATGAATGAATAGCTATGCAGAGAAGCTTGAGGGAGAAGGGTCAAGTGTTAGCCTGTTACCTCTGTGGCTATCAGAGGCTAGACTAGGCAGCCTGAGAATTACCTGGAGGTTTTAGAAACTAGATTTCTCGTCCCTCCTACGCTCAGTCATTAGATTCAGAGAGGGAAATAGCTAGCTTGTACTTCGTTCTTTGTTTATTTTTCAGTGTCCTGGATGGTTCTGAACACAAGCCGCCTGGCTTGGGAACCGCTGCGAGGCCACTCTTAAATAGGATGTGGTTCTTCGGCTTCTTACCAAGGTTGGGTTTGCCAGTGTAGAGCTTTTCATAGAGGAAGGAATGGTCTCGGAAGCTCTGCAGCGTGTTCCCCATGGCTATGATGGACACCATGACCAGCCAGCTCCGGAGCACATTCAGGAAACGGCTCATGGTGACCCCCACGTCCGAGAAGGTGTTTGCCCTGAAAACAAAGGCACAGAACATGCGACAATGCAGATGAGTGCACTTTCACCAGAAGCTGCCTTACTAGCCTGTGCTCGACCCGTGTCCCACTTATGAGGGCTTTAGTAAGCTCAACTGGCCAATCACTTTAGGGATTCTCCTTTAGGGCCACTCACCCCAGTTTTCTTAACACACTACTCTCTTCTTTTGAGATGGGATCTTGATAACATGCCCAGGCTGGTCTCAGATCTGCAATTCTCCTACCTTAGGTTCCTGAACTACCTGGCTCAACACACCTCTTACTTCACAGGGTTAGCTTGCTGCCTGGAAATTTTTACCCTAAACCAAAGTGTGGCGACCTTCACTCAGAGTGACAAGTGCTAAATAATATAAAGGGTAGATATGACAAATCCAGTGGGGGAAAACATGGAAAGAAAGGAAACAGAAGAAAAGGAGATGTACGAATATTACTATAAAGCAGTGGAATGGAATTCTGTGCAAGGTTTATGGAAATTGGTCTCAATACTCTGTCACACTAAGAGTGGCAAATGAATAGTATACTCTGCAGTATGTGGCACAGTACTTATCTTTGTCCAAGTAATTGCTCCAAAATATAGTATTACCCTAAATGAGAACTCTTTTCTCTTGGGGACCAGTGTTCCAGTATCTTTGCCTTTTATGAAAGTGACTGAAAGGAGTCCTTCTTTCCTTCCTTTCTTTTCTTCCTCCCTTCCTCTCTCTTTCTATCTAGAGTACTGGGGATTGAACCAAGGTCCTTCACATTGAGAAACATCCCCCAGTGTGCTTGTTTTGTTTTTGAGACAAAGTCTAAGTTGCCTAGTTTGGTCCTGAATTTGTAATCTTCCTGCCTCAGCCTCCCAGAGTGCTGGGACTACTGGTGTATGCCACCATATCCAGCTTCAAAGATGGCTATAAATATACACACAGTTACCTGCCTGGTTATTGATGACAGATCATTCCAGGGCTACAGAAGCCCTAGATATTTGAGTAAAACCTATGGTGTGATGCACCGTTTATATCTTTAGCTTTTCTCTGCCCCTCAGATACATCATGCTTCATAAGTTAGATCTAAAAGTTAAGCATAACTGCTATGACTTCAGAAGTAGTAAGATTATATGGAGAAAGAAACAACAGTGTTGGTGTGGAAGGCAACACCGAGAAAAATAACAATAGCTATCACTTACTGGGCACTTCAACCACTCACTGTGCCAAGCACCTGACATATTATTATTTCACTTCATCTTTACAAGATAGGCAGATAGTATTAGTATTTATTTTATAAGAGAGTTGGGACAGAGGTTAAGTGATTTGCTTGAGGTTGTACAGCTAATACATGGTACAGTTAAGACAAGAACCTTTGTCTGTTGGAATTTATATTGTAATACTACCTTATTGAGAATATTTTGATAAAGTTTCTACTTTTGAGGAAGTCAAGCATTATCATTTCTACTCTGTCCTCAAACTGTATGAAAAATATAATTAGGTTGTACGTATGCTTTTTTTTTAAGCTTATATCAACCCTTGCTGAGTAATGAGTTCACTCAACTGGATTTAAATGAATCCTATTTAGGGGCTGGGGATGCAGCTCAGTGGTGCAGTGCCTGCCTGGCAAATGCAAGGTCCTGAGTTCAATCCCTGGTACAAAAAACAAAACAAAACAAAAAAACTATATAAATGAATCCTATTTAGATAAAGGATCTAATAAAGGAACAAGCTTCCCCCCATCACCACCAGCACCACCTACACCACCGTTAGGTCCATGGTGTATTCTCTGTTGTCGGATTAACTTCTTCGGTCCAAAGTGATAATCAGCTACCAAACCTTCCTTTGCCACTCTGGCAATAGAAGTTTCAGTATGGTCTCACACGACCCAGCTGAGATAGGTATTAAAGTCAGCATCGGCCCAAACAATGTGAGGCATCAAAACCCAAGCAAAAAAAGAGCTCTAGAGGAGAAAGAATGAACTGATGAATCCCTCAGGTAAGCGTTGGTCACGAAGGTGTCCAGTTTAAGTCAAGAGAGAACATGGATCTGTTAGACATCTCAGTCACTTGCCTGGACCATGACCCATCTTGCCCTTTACTTTCTCAGCTCCTCCCAATAGGAGAGTCAGGTCTTCTCCTAGGGTTTCAAAAGCTGCGCGGACGCCCATTCACCCACTACCCTACATCCCAACAGAACTTACAAATCCCAGCAGGCAACCTGAGCCTTTCTGAATTGCTTCTCCCAGTATCTCAACCCCATTATGCTGTCCCTGCTATTCGGTAGCTATGTTACCCTGGGCAAGTAATTTACATTTTGCAGGCTGATCTGCAAAATGGGGGTACATATAACTCCCTTAAGGATAATAGAAACTGCATGAGAAAAAGTGAAGGCTTCTTGCACAGTGCAAAGCTCATAGTGTCCGTTAAATCATCCATTCCTTCGTTCCCGAATTTACTAAGCTCTCTCTCCCTTCCCACCTTAGCTCTCTCTTGTCCTGGTCTCTCGAACTCTTTTTCCCCAAAACGTGGCCTCCCTGATAACCCCCATTTTTCCAGATTCCTCAGATCCTGTCAATCAGATAGGACGCAGACACCTACATCCGTTTCTAAATCCTACCTGGCGATCTGATCCCCAGCACCGCTGCAGCGAGCAAGCTCCCCCAGGACAGCTCCAGCCCTAGGTCCACCTGAGCCATTTGTCTACCCCCCCGCTCTTAGCCCTGCTCCAGGATTGGGTCGTTCCCGGTAGCCCTGCCCCTGATTGGCTGTGCCGGTTTTGCTCGAGCAGGAGATGGGGAGTGAACTCCTTTGCTGCCAATCAGCGGTTGCCGCCTAAACCTCTCCCCTGTACACCGCCCATGCACTACACTCTCTTATTGATTGTGGCGGAACTCTGGGTTTGGAGTCAACCTTTTAGGGGCGGAGGAACAAAAAAAGAGTGGATAAAAGAAATCAAGACTTCCTTCTGCCGTGGGCAGGGCTTTGTGCCGCGCCGTGATGACGAAAGGGCGGTTGCTTGTTGGTTGTTGTAGTAACCGGGGAAGCAGCAGTCTACCGCTGCTCTGAGCCTGGCTGGGGAAGGAGGTGAGAGGTAGGCTCAGAGCGCGGTCCCCGCCTGCCCACCCCGAGCCATGGGAAGTTGAGACAGGTAAATCCTTGAGCCCGCGCGCTTCCTTACCCCTTACCGGTGGGGAGGTTTGCTCCTGGTTCTGGGTAGGCGCCCTACACTTCCCTCCAAAAGTCCTGGAGCAGCTGTTAGCTTCCGGGCGCGCCAGACTGAGTCGTTGCGGCAGAGTCGCCGCGTCCTTCGCGAGGGGAGCATCTGCAGATCTGCCTGGGATTGGGGTGAGCTGGGCGTGGCGCTGAGGGCAAGTCCCTGTAGGACCAGAACTCTCATTAGGTGAAAGTCTAATCTTCCCAGAGTCGAGTCTGTTCTCTCTGTGGGGAGTTTAGGAAAAAGACTGGTATCCCTTCCTCGCTTGCGGGTTTTGTTGTTAAGTTAAAGGGTTTAATCAGTATTTTGGGAAGATCGGAGAATCCCTTTGGGAATCCCCCGAAGAGTTATTGAGGTCGTTTGATATTGCCTGTATTTCTGCTGAAGATCTGTAGGGATCTTTATCAGGATCGGTGGTTTTGGGTTTTTTTTTTTTTTTTTTGGTCTTATTTACAATAATATTGCTAACTATGAGTTTATAGAACAATAAAGTTTGGAAAGATTGACATGAAATAGTTATCTCTGATTAATGGGATTATAGTCATTTAAACATTTTCATTACAGTATATGTAGTTTTTTCTCTCCCATAAAACAACGAACGTGTACTTTTTTCCTATGGAAAAATATTTTGTTAAAAATATTGTGTTGGAAGTTTTCTAATTTTAGTGTTTATTTAGGGTTCAGATTTTTATGGTTTTGTTGTGATTTTTACTGAGGGAGAATAATAAGATAATTTGGAAGGGAATTTTTTTCCCCCCTGTATGACCCTTGATTAGGGATAATATATTATCAATATTTTAGTTTAGTTGAATTGGTTTGACTAGAAACATAATGGCATCTTGCATGTGTGTTTGTCAAAGAGTTTACATACATATTTGTAAGGGTCTTGAAGGTTGAGTCTTAATTTTTATTTTTCTAATATTTATTTATTTATTTATTTGGTTTTCTGAGACAGGGTCTCACTATGTAGTTGAGACTGACCTGGAACTCACTATGTATGCCAGGCTGGTCTCAAATTCACAGCGATCCTCCTGCCTCAGCCTCCCTGAGTGCTGGGATTACAGGCGTGTGCCCCCCCATACCTGGCGTAATTTTTATTTTTATTATTTATTTATTTTTTTGTGGTACGGGGGATCGAACTTGGGTCCTTGTGCTTGTGAAGCAGGCGGTGGATCCACTGAGCTAAATCCCCAGCCCCTTAATTTTTATTTTTAATGCTGGTCAGATTTGTCTATCAGGGAATCTGTTTTTTGAGAATCAGTCACCTAACTCAGACTGCCCTAAAAGTGCAGTGAGTCTATCCCTTTGGTTAATGTTAGATCTAATGTATAAAGGTCACATAAGAAACAAACTTAATAATAGCACTTACATACATGGAGACAGTATGTTTGAAAAAAATCTTGACTTCTGTGTCATATGTGAGGCACTGTGACAGAGGTAAGCTTCTAGAGATTGGGCACTATTTAGAAATATATACACTTTCGTTATTTGACAGATCATAGCAAAAATCAAGGAATAGAGAGCTGCATTGAGTTTCAGATCACTTGACTTTCTTGCAGGAATCTGTGCCACCCAAATTGTCTGATACAGTGAATCTGCAAGGAGAGGTCTCTGAGGCCCCTGTTTGCTGACTGTATGACAGACCCTGAAGGAAATGCCAGTTGTGATGGCCCGGGACCTGGAAGAAACTGCATCATCCTCAGAGGATGAGGAGGTGGTAAGCCAAGAGTAAGTACCAGCAAGCCTGTTATTGGTTCTTTGCTGTTAGGATGAACAGTAGCTTTCTTTTCTCATATATTCTTCTACCCTCTATATCTTTCCTTTGATATTGTCTGAATCTGGTTTTAGCTTCTATCCACAATCTAACTCAAAGTCTTATTGCTCAGTTCCTATCTGCTGTCAGAAGTGAGGTGACGTTCTGTTTCTGGACTTGATGAATGAACATCAACGCTACATGTAAAATGGGGGTAGTAGCTCTTGGTGGTCTCTTGATCAGAATTTCCTATAGAAGATTTTGAAATTTTTAGGCATTGGGGAAAAGTTCTTCAGACCCTGTGATGTTGATTATGTTATGCTAGTTTTCTCAACAGCCCTTACAATGATAGAATGGTGGAAGTATAAAGAAGGCAGGTTACCATAGCACCTTGGGGCAGACTATCAGAGTTCTGTAGCCTGTGCTGTGTACCCTGAACCACAGTTGCTTTCTTGCATTGTTATATTAAGAATGTTTTCTTGATTGCTTGATCCTCAAAATAAATGATACTGTTGAGTGCAGCTGTTATAGACGATAGTAAGGGCTCTCTATCTCATTTAATCTGGAGTAAACTGTTCTATCTTATTTAATCTGAAAATGTTGTTATTTTCACTTTACTGAACTGATTCTTAGAAGTCTCAAGAAACTTCTTCAGGGACCTTTAGGAGTAATGGCGTTGAGATTCAGACTTAGCTTTCCTGGGTTTTGAAGGGCTTTGCTGTTTCGTGTCCTTTAACATTACCACGTGATGCAAAACAGAATTTGGCTTAAAGTTAATACACATATTTTATGTATCTGTGATCCTTTTGGATGTGTGCATGGTGTGTAACCTGAAAAACGGAATAATATTTCCCAGGCTCTTTTGTAGGTGCGTGTTTAGGATCAAATAGAATAGCATTTGTGAGATTACTTGGTAAATTATAAAATACCATACAAATGTAAGGCCCATTTCTGACTGGTTTTAATATTGAATTTATGATGGATTTTTTATAAGGTGGAAGACTGCTGCATATCATTTAAAGAAAATTAGGAAAGCATTAATGGAACTCTGCTGAAAGGCTTCTCGCCATTGTTAGGTCATAGAAGATAATAGCGACTTGACAGTATTATTTGGGTCATTCTCTTTCAGGATAATTAAATGGATGATTTCCTTTGGTTATTTTGCCTCGTCCCATTTTGCTTGCAGTGTTCTGACTCTTACCATCACATAAAAATTTAGCTTCCGCAAGTATCAGGCTTTCAAGATTGTTCTTTTAATCCATTATAATCTGTTATTTTAAAAACGTGTTGATTTGATCCAAGGATGCATATCTGTGGTTAGGGATGGGGCTCAGTGTTGGAGTGCTTGTCTAGAATGCATAAGGCCCGGGGTTCAAGCCCCAGCTCTATTAAAAAAAAAAAAAGTGTCAACCTAATGATATATATCCATGAATATATTAGCTCTTTGTAGATTTCCTAGGCTTTATTAAAGTTTTTTTTCCCCATTGAGTTTATTGGTACATTTTAGGTATACAGTACAGTTACAGTCATCATTGGGATCTTGTACCTTTACATGACAGATCTTGGTTATCATTTTTTCCCCTTACACCTGCCCTCCCTTCACCCCCTCCCCCTTTCCTAGTTACAAACACTTTATTTCCATTTTCTCGTTTTCTCATATTTTTTCTTTTCCCTTATTTCCTTTCCCCTACCCTTCCCACTTTCCCCTACTCCTTTAGCCGGTTTCTTCCTATTTCATATTGTCAATTATACCGTTTGGATCTTATTTACACTTTTGGTTTTTCACACCAGAGAAACTATTCGGTACTTACACATGTATGACTTATTTATTTCACTTAAGAGTATGGCCTCAATATGCATCCATTTTCCTGTGAATGACTCTTTATTAAAGTTCAATACCTTGCAGTTTTGGACTTCAGGGTTAGAAACTGTCCGAGCAGTCTTTGTATTGCAAGGCATTGTTTCAAACAGTGCATGTAAAATGGCTGTTCTATGTCTGGTTCAGGGATCCTAAATATAAATTTATATGTAGGTATGTAAAGTTTCATATATGAACTTGATGTGAGAGTCTGGAGATGCAACCAGGGGTAAGACTGCTTGCCTAGCGCGCACAAGGCTCTGGGTTAACCCCCAGCAACACCTAAAGAAGACAACACAAAGTTTCTTACATCACTAAAAAACTAGTATAGTAACCTTAATTTCTTATTTAAAAAATTTTTTCCAGTACAGGTTTGGAATAATGCTCTGATACTGAATGTAGCAGCCCTAGTAACTTTAATTTCTATCATCTTTGTGGTAGAAATTAGCTTTATATCAGAACAATTATAAAGTGAATGCTACAGGAGTTTAGAGAAGGAGGGCATCATCACAGGCTTGAGGAGCTGAGGTGTGAGGGGGCCACGGGGGGAGGGTGGCTTAGAAAGACAGGCAGACACAGGGAAGGCGGTGCTGTGGAGAAGACGCGGGAGCAGTGAAACTAACGCTGCCCTCCATCTCCACCTTCTGTGTGCTGCTTCCAGCAGTAAACAGTATGTATCCCTCATGAAACTGCCCCTCCTGAAAACCAAAATCTTCAGGCTTTCCAGATAGTGAGCTAAGAGCTGGCCTACTTTAGGACCTTTTCATTGGAGTCCTTTGTTCTTCCATGCCCCTAAAAGCAGATTTTTCTCTCTCTATAGCATTCTCTGAGGTGAAGGAAAAGTTAAAGCCCCAGCGTTCAGTTTTCTAATCATTTTGATTTTTTCCCCTTTATCACCACCTGGTGGGAGCACGCTTTTAATGCCAATTTAGCGTCTGATTTAAGTGTTGTTTAGTTGACCATCCTTTTATATTTTATAGGTTGTAATTAAAGGACTTCTCTGTCAGGGATGTGAATTCCCACAGAGGGTATAGGAGGGGCCTTGGCTCTTCACTGCTGTGTGTCTGTTCATTGTGTTCCTGCTTCTCGTCAGGCATTTTTGACGTAGTAGAAGCCTGCTGTTTGTAGATGCTGAGGCACCATGGTGCCAGCTTGTAGCTAGTGCTAGAGCGACAAGGAACTCTGGAGAGTTTCCAGAGCTTCTGTCCAAGACTTTGTAGCCTAGGATGCATCTTCTTTCCTCTAGCCACTGACAGAAACATAGTGGAAAACTTGTATTTGGAAGAGGTAATAAGAATCATCCTGCCCCATGCTCATATTTTATAGGTATTGAAGATTAAAATGCAAGCAACCTACAAAAAATTCTTGTTGCTAAAACTGTACCCTGTGGACACCATTTCTCACAAATGGGTATTATTACCCAAATCCACAAATAAGAATAATATGCATCTGTGTTCCATTTCTAGAAAACAGGACATGAAATAGGCATGGGATTCTTTAATTCACTAAAAACCTGCTCAACTGAAGACCAAAGGCTGCCTAATTTCTCAGAATAGCAGCCTACCAGCCTCGGTATTCAAAGGGTGGATCTTTTAAAGCTTGGATTAGGAGGGTATGTCTTGGTTCTGAGATTTGTAGTATGGTTTTTGTTAAGGGTTTGTGGTCATGGGAGTTTTTAAGACTGGCATGAATCTTGACTAAATGGGCCTTATTCCATTTAAGGAATCAATGAGTTTAAATTTTCAGAGTTTAGTTCAAGTGTTCAGTATACAGAGCTTCACAGAAATGTCTTCATTCTGCAGAATAGAACAAGCTCAGACCCTAGGTTCAAATACCTGCACACACACTTAGCTGGCTGACACAGACTAGGGACTCAGTTTCATTTCTTTTCCTTCGTACCTCCCTGCCCTAAGGAGGTTGCACGTTTTCCTAACCTGTGCGAAAATATCTAAGATTATTTAAACCGAGCTTTGCTGATGATAGGGAAATACGGTTGGAAGCTCCTTTCTGCTCTGTGGTTTTATACCAGAGGAAAATATATATTGTTCCATTTAATATAGGTTTTCTTTAAAATATGTGATTTTAATTGGGATCCTTATATTAAGAGTTCCTAGCTCAGGATCTTAGGATGGGTCATCCAATTGGCCTGAAAAGGAACTATAGTATGTAAAAGAAAAAATATAAATTATTGGGTATATATCAGGATCATCTGTGTATCAAGGAATTAAAATGTAATTAAAATTGTCCTAATAAAAAAAGGGCATTTATTAACTCATTCTTAGGCAAGGCTTGATTCTGCAACACCAGCTTCATTACCCATGATGCCATCTGTCTCCTTTGCTCAGTTAGGCCCCCACTGACTTCCTCCTTTACTAACCGCTCCAGGCTCTTTCCCCTCAGTGTCACAAAGTGGCTGGCATTCGGACTTTTCATTCTCATCCTAAACCAGAAAGGGAAATAGAGAGTGTCACCTATAGTTGCTACAGAAAAATAAGGAAGCATTGCTTTCTCAGAGGGTCTCAGCTCATATCTCCTTATTTCTCCTGGGCTCGGATTGGTTTATGTGCTCCTCCCTGAACCAATCACTTATTACTGAGTGATGGAGTGCCATGATTGGCTGAAACCAATCAAAGCCCATCCCTAGAGCAGGGATGGAGTTAATCTTAATGCATGGCTAAGAATGGGAGATGATGAGTGATTTGTCACAGGATATTTGGGCTTCTTATTCCAGAAGGAAGGGGAAAGTTGCTAAGAAACCATAATAATCTACATTAACAGTTATTCAGATTTTGAGCTGTAAATTAACAAGGCTTTTTTGTTTATGGTTGTAGGGATCATCCATGTATCATGTGGACTGGAGGCTGCAGGAAAATTCCAGTTTTGGTATTCCATGCTGAGGCTATTCTGGCAAAGGACAGTAATATCCGAGTAATTGGAGGTAGGTGTTAATCTCCAATAGAGGACAAAGCTGGGCGTGATGCTGACAGCTTTGTCTGGAAAAATTAATATGACGTAGTGAAATGGTTTCGTCCATAGGAAAAGATTTGTTACTTGAAAGAATGTTTATAATTTCTTAAATTATTTTCTGCATATGTTTTTCATTTGAACTTTTTCATAATTATGTGTATCATGTTTTGTTTTTAAATTGTGATAAATTATACATGACACAATTTACCATTTTAACCATTTTGTTCAGGGACCGTGCTAATCTTTGTATCATTCCAATTTTAGTGTATGTGCTGCCAAAGTGAGCACTCATTTTAACCATCTTGGAGTGTGTACTTCATTGATAGTTGGTGTAGTCACAGCATGCACATGTGACCACTGTCTAGTCTCCATCCCCAAAGTAAAGCCTGTACTCATTCAGCAGTCATATACCCTACTCCCCAATCCCTCTGGTCCCTAGTGGCTAGTAATCTGCTTTCAGTCTCTGTGGATTTGCCCACTCTGGCAGTTTTATTTAGATGGAATCATACACCTAGTGGCCTTTTGTGTCCAGGTTCTTTCACATAGCATGTTTTCAAAGTCTGTCCATGCTGGAGCGCGTGTCTGTGTCCTTCTTGTCTTTTTAAGGCTAAATAATATTCCGTAGAATTCACATACAACCTTCTGCTTGCCCATCCATCAGTTGATAGCATGTGTAGTGTTTCCACTCTTTGGCCACTGTGAGTAACTGCTGCTGTGAAGGTTGGTGGACAAGTTTTTACTTTGTATTCCTTTCTTTTGACTATTACCCAGGAATGGAATTGTGAGGTAATTCTGTTTAACTAAGGAACTGTCAGACTGTTTTCCCCAGGAGATGCTCATTTTACATTTCCACCGGCAATGGATATGGATTCCAACTTCTCCATAGCCTCAGAAACCTTTGTTATTTTCTGCTGTATAGGTTGTGAAGTGGTACTTCATTGTGGTTATGATTAGCCTTTCCCTAATGATGAATGACTTTGAGTGTCTTCGTGTGCTTGTTGGCTATTTGTGTGTCTTTGGAGAAATGTCTACTCAAGGTCTGCCCGTTTTAAAGATTTGAGTTGTCTTTTTTGTTGTTGAGTTGTTAGAATTCCTTATATATTCTAGATATTAAATCCTTATCAGTGCTCGCTTCGGCCACACATATACTAAATCCTTATCAGATACATGATTTTCCTATTTTGTGAATTATTTTTTATGCTCTGTATTCTGTGGGCTATTTTTCTGTGAGCAAAAGCTTTTATTTTTGATGCTATCCTGTTTAGCTATTTTCTTTCTCTGCGTCTTATGTGGCTGGTGTCATATTTGAAGCCATTGCCTAAGCCGAGGTAGTGATTCCCTACATGTTTTTCTAAGAGTTTAAGGCTTTATACTTAAATAGTCTTGGCCAGGGGTTTAGCTCAGTGGTGCCACCGCCTGCCTCGAAAGTGCAAGGACCTGAGTTCAATCCCCAGTACAAAAAAAAAAAAAAAAAAAAAGTCATTGAGTAGAGTTAAATAATCTTGTTTTGTTTTGTTTTTTATTTTTTGAGAGAGGGTCTTGCTCCATAGTTCAGGTTGGCCTTGAACTCACTATGTAGCCCAGGCTGGCTTTGCACTCAGGGTAATCCCCCTGCCTCAGCCTCCCAAATGTTGGGTTTACAGATACATGCCACCATGCCGATTTGTTTTGAGTTAACTTACTTTCATTTTCTTTCTTTTTTCTTGGTTATCGGGGCTTGAACTCGGGTCCTTACGTAGAGTTAATTTTCTTGGGTTAGGTAAAATCCCACCTTCATTCTTTTACACGTGAACATGCAGTTGTCCCAGCACAATTAGTTGCAGATGCAGTTCTTTCTCTATTGAATGGTCTTGGTACTACTGTCAGATCAATTATTTTTTTGTTTTGTTTTGTTTTGGGTTTTTCTGGTACTGGGGATCAAACTTGAGTCCTTGCACTTGTGAGGCAGGTGGTAGAACCACTGAGCTAAACCCCCAGCCCAAGAGATCAATTGATCATAGATTTGTAGACTTTTTTTTTCCCCCCGTGGTCCTGGGCATCAAACTCAGGACCTTGTGCTTACAGGTAGGCACGGTGCCACTGAGCTAAATCCCCAGCCCTGGACTCTTTTAATATGCCACTGATTTGTCCATTTATTCTTACAGAAATTCCATATGGTTTTGATTACTATACTTTTGTATTAAGTTTTGAAATAGGAAAGTAGCGATCCTCTAACACTTTCTTTTCAAGATGGTTTCAGCTGTTCAGTATCCCTTACAATTCCGTATGAATTTTAGGGTGAATTTTTCCAACTCTGCAAATTGACTGTTAGAATATTGATAGGGAGTGAACTAAATCTGTGTATCACAGAGCAGTACTGTGAGTCCTGACCAGCTGATTTCAGAGGTTACAGCGGTGTGGATCAGAACTGGCATGTGGTATGGTAGAAAGAGTCCATACTTGGGTTTTTGGTCATTTGTTTGTTTCTCAGCTTTGGCATTTCCTAGCTGTGAGTCTTGGGCAAATCACTCAAACTCTCTTACCCAGTTTTATTACTAGTTAGATGGGGATACTATCTGTCTTACAGCATTGTGAGAATCAAATGTGATTAATTGTTTAATGTATGGCACATAGTAGATGCTCAAAACTTGCGCTGTTCACTCACTTGTTGAATAGGATCCACTCTACTTTTAAATGACTAAGATCTGTCATCACCCCATAATAAGCCAGGAGCTCAGAGCCTGCTTTTGGGATTTGAGTGTTATACTCTTCCTGCTGGTCCTTGTATTTAATCTCCTCAGCAAGTTGCTAGGTTACCACTTCATGTACTGTGAAGCCTGAGTAAGTGAAGACTCTGCTGAGCAACTCCCATTAAATGTGACTGGAGCCAAAATGTCAGAGGTGGTCAAGAAGGAGATAAGCCCCACAAAATGTGCTTCTTTTATTCTGCTTGTCACATAAAATAATCTATGTATCCTATGGCAGTAAACAGACCCTTCATTTTTAGATTATCTACCATTTATTGGAAAATAACATCTGTCAATATTGTCATCTCAGTTTTCAAGCAATTACCATTTTCTACAACTTAGAAGTCTTCATGTACTTTTTTATTTACAGAGTCCCATGGTGTAAAAGCCACTGAGCTTTTTTTAAATTGTCTTTAAAATTTTCTCTATTTTCCCCAGTTATTTGAGATTTAGTAATTCTTCACCTTTTATACAAAGAGCAATTTGAATGACTTTTGCTAACTACTGTCTCAGTGTTCTGAACTGTTAAATATTCTTGGTCTGTGCCACTTTCTTTTGACTCTCGTAAATAGCTGACACGGACATAAATCTGATCCTAAGCCTGTGGTTAAATCCCCTTGAGAAGTTATCTGGGACACTAGTTGTTTTCTGTTGACTTCTGTGTTAGAGGCCCATCTTATTTTTTCTGTTTTATCTATTGAATATTTCTTGATTCCACTGTTAATAACTTGGTATAATATGATTTCTCATACTTGATTTGTGATATAGTCTGTGAATATGACTTTTTCTTCACTATAATCTTGTTTTTTCCCTCCAAGTTTTATGTATTTTAAACATAGAGATGGTATTTTAGAGCCAACAGAGCTACTTTTTAACTTGAAGTTAACTTTTCGTGGAATGAAGCATCTTTTATAATTTGCCTTTAAATTTGTCCGTTTAATAAGTTTGTATTTTTATAGGCTAGCAATAGAAATATGATCCAAGCTGTGTAGAAAAGTGAAATTAATTTTAATAATATACTTGCCTTAACCCAATATATCTAAAGTTACCATTTCTATATTTTCTCAATATTAAAAATTCACTAGTAGGATATTTTATACCTATGTGTATTTTAAACTTATAGGCATCTCAGTCTGATGTGAATTTTCATTGGAAATCTTTGCTCTGTACTTAGATTTCATAAACATTATTTTTGAAATTCATTTAGTCTGTTTGAAATATGTTTTCTAGTAACTTCTTTGTTTTTTGTTTTTTAATGCTGGGGATCAAACCCAGGGCTGTCTACATGCTAATCTTGTGCTCTACTACTGAATACACCCCCAACCCCTGTTTTCTAATAACTTAAACAAGTAGCAGTTTTTAAAATTTAAAGTTTTAAATTTTTAAATTATGGTCCTTTGTCACAGCACTTACATTTCAAGCATTCATCCATCGCATGTGGCCAGTAACCACTGTTCTGGACAACAGAGGTAATCTGTGATCCTAGGGTACACCTGTACCTTGTTGCCTTTGAAGGGTTTATTCTGATATTTTAAAAGCCAGAGGTGTCAGTTTGGTTTTTCTGTACAGACTTTCACTACTCCCTGGTTATTTCCCTGCTGACAGTGGCTTCTTTCCATTTACTATGCTGCAGTCTATCCTGGAATTGCCAAGGGTCCTCACACTTCAGGTTGCCTCCTGGGGTACACATGAGTCATGGGGGAAGAGGAAATTCTAGTTTTGTGTTGGAATTGACTCCATAATTTTTCAGAGGTTCAGAAGTAAGATACTTGGCAGTTTGCTAGTAATCAGGAAGGGCCTTGCCGTGATGCTTTGTTTGTGTGTATGTGTGTGTGTCTGTGTTTTAATGGAAGAAAATGTGGGATAAAATGGTTCTTTCTTGGGTGTTTGGATAGGTTCAATTTGCAGTTGCATTTCTTTAACTGACTCCTTTTTTCTTTCTAGTTGATTTTTATCATGGGAGAAAAAACCCCAGTGTATTTGTCAGAGTCCTCCAGAGACATAGAGCTAATAGAATACAGCAGGAGGAGGTACAGGGGCGGGTGGTGGGACAGCAGAAGGGAGTTAGTATAGGGTATTGGCACACAACAATTATGAAAGCTGCAAAACCCCATAATTTGCTGTCTGCAAACTGGAGACTCAGGAAAGCTGGGGTTATTGTTTGAAAGCCCTAGAGCCAGGAAGCAATGGAATGGATCCCAGTGAGTCTGAGGCCTGAGAACCAAGAGTGCTGAGGTCAGAAATCCTCACCTCAGCTCAGCAGTCAGGTGGGGGAACAGAGCAAATTCAGCCACCTTCATGTTCTGTTCAAGCCCTCAGTGGATTGGGGATATCCACCCATGATGGGGAGGATAATCTGCTTTATTCAGCTCACAAATTCAAATGCTAATCTCTCTGGAAACACCCTCACAGACACACTCAGAATTAATGTTTAATCTCATATCTGGGCATCCTGTGACCCATTCAAGTTGACATATAAAATGAACTATATAGTATGGTTGCCAGGCTTTTCAAAAGCAGCTCAGGAAGTTAGACTTTTATATGGATTCTTTCAGTTTTTAA